TATACCAGTGACTTGAATCAAACAATTCCATCAATATTTAGAAGTAAAATGGATGCGAAAAACGGAACAGCATAAATCGTTGCAGCAGCTTCATGTATATAAGCCAGATTCAGGGAATGCTTTGTACATGACACAAATTTAGCTTTGGATTGATTTTGCAGAGGTCTGCGCACACTCGACTGATAGTCCGCCATGACAGCAGCTCTGTTTACTGTGTGGCCACGGCCGTTATCGATCTGAATTTCGTGCTTCTCCGCTGCCCACAATAGCAATCCAGAGATTTCCTCTGCTCTTTTACAGTTATCCTCAATGAAGCTGAGAAAAGACTCCTCTACTGTCACTTGACTTCCACTCATCAGATTTTTGTGAGATACATCGGGAGTGATATCAAAAATTAAGCAAACATAGCTGCTTTTCTTGACCTTAGCTACGATAGTCTTTCTCATCGGTTTTACCGAAATACTCACTAATTCATTTTTAATACTTGGCGACCAAGAAGAAGTGTTGATTTTCCTTCGCAGGTGATCTGTCACCAGGTGTTCACGAAGAACATGAGCTGGCTAGCCGAACAATCTCCTCTTGGTACCGGCTAGATGTCTCGCAGTTAACGCGTTCCAGCAAATAGTTCGGCTGCGGTGTTCCAGGATGTGGTAGGCTTATACCTCGTAAACTTCCTCTATAAAATTCCACAAATGTCTAACGACAGTGCGATGTGGCGGACGTTGCAACTAAATATCCGGATATTCGGGTAAGCACATCTAATCGACGGACGTCAATCAACTAGTTTACACTACCGACGTTATCAGGCAGCGAAGGATGCAGAGGTACGCTTACAATCCGAAACTACACAGGTACACAGTTACGCAATTAAAAAGATACACACCCCTATGCAAACATTCACTGTTACGGCAAACAAGTTGTATGTTCGTACATGTTTGATCACCCATTGTTATCTTAATATAACCTAGCCTGTAAAGACGTGCCTCACTTTGTGTATTTATGTATACTTGGTCAACCAATGTACAAATTCTGAAAAATTATCTTTATTTTCCTGGCCTCCTCCGTCATCTTGGATGAGTCTCGGAGACCACTAAGGGTCCTGTTTTGCTTGACGGGCTACCTGACGATATCAAGTATGCTAGCCAAAATTTCACACTATGTCTTTCTACAATTGGGAGCATTGGGAGCAGCAGCAAGCAAACTGGCAGGACCTTTAGCACAGTTTTTCCAGCGTTGCTTAGACCAGAATACTGTCAAACCCATAGGACATTCGGAATGCACAAGAACGAACGAATGCCGTGTATAAAATAAATTGTAATAATTGTGAAATGTACTATGTGAGACAGACAGGAAGGAAACTATCCGCGGAAGTATATCGAACCAACAGATGCGCAGAATCCGTCGAAAACACTGTTGATGGAACCACTCGAGATATCGCATATCCCGCCGGTACATCGTCCATTTGCCGCTGCCGTATAGAAGAACGGACAGCACTATAGATTTTTGCACCATCCGCTTCGTGCCAATAGTACGCTGATGGTACTCAAGCTTCCCGAATAACACCGCTGCCTTCGAGACGCGGATACGCAGCTCACGGTGTAGCTGCTGGTCAGTTGACATCATACTCCCAAGGTAGCTGAAACTGGAGGTGGTTTCCAAAACTTCAGCACCCATGCTGATTTTCGACAATATTGAAGATTGCACCTCCGATGAAGGCTGAAAGAGACAGACAGTTTTGCTTGTGTTGATGGTGAGCCCGAATTTGGCCGCTGTCGAATCCGATGCACTATACAACTACTGCAGCTCATCCGCGCTGTGTGAAAACAACGCACAGTCGTCAGCAAACAGCAACCTACGGATAGTTGTCTCACAGATTAGAGTTCTCGCACCGAAACGACGGATGTTCAGCAACCCACCATCAACACGGTGCTCCAAACTAACATCGTAAGCACGAGCCGCATGAAAATATAAGACACTATTGCATGAAGATAATAACTGCACCGTGCAGGAGTTATGACACAGCATTACCTTACATCAGAGACAACTGCAAAGTCATCCGAGGTCTTTCCACTCAGCTTCACCCTCGCTCGCATAACACTGTACAGACATCCAATTAACTTACAAACTTACGCGAGCAATCAAACTTACCCAACACCAGCCACAGTGCCTCGCGGTTCACCGTATCAAATGCATTGGTGAAATCAACAAAAAGCGAGTACAACGGCTGGTGTCGTTCTCTGCACTTCTCCTGCAACTGACGAGCCGCAAACACCATATCTGTAGTGCTGCGAAGCGCGCGAAATCCACAATGCCCTTCCGCCACGTTAGGTTTCACAACCTGACCCTGAGATTACATACATACATAGGTAGATGAGACCTACGTGCTAATAAAAAGGGACCATAAGAAGGACATGGTTAACCATCTAAACGCTATTGATGGGAGAATAAACTTCACTGTGGACTCGGAGTCGTGTAGTGCTACAACACAGTTCCTTGTCTACCTAGTTCATAGAAATATAGGAAAGTTTAAAACATCTTTATACCCTAAAGCAACAGATACCATTGGGTACTTCAATATATTTCAGGTCACGCCACACACGGCTAAGCGGGGATTACCTCATCATTGTTCTACAAAGCACAGACCCTGTGCACAACGGAAGAAGATAGAAGGGCTGCAAGGAAAGAGACGATGAGCAAACTATTGGGTAGTGGTTATCCGCGAAGTCTATAGTTAGATGTCAGTTATAAAAGTACTAAACCCACAGGCAAGGTCCGCAAAGCAGTGGGTGGGAACAGTGATCATTCCTTACAAAGAAGGAAAAGAAAAGAAGAAGAAAAAGAAAATGAAGCGTATAATGCTGATCTGCCAACGTCGCCAAACTTTGCGTTTATCGCTGGTGCGCTTGCAGTACTCCCTGCCCACAAATAGGACGAGTACTTCTGTGTACAAAGTCAACTGCAAAGCCTGTCCACACTTCAACCGCACCTAGCCACTGGGTTTTTCTTAAACCCCATGTCCTATCCTCCATTGCCGCTAGTCAGTTAAAACATGACAGT